CCGCCCCCACACACACACACACACACACACACACACACACACACACACACACACCAAGTTTTTTTTTTTCTTTTAGATTATTTTATTTTATTCTATGTGTATAAATGTTTTGCCTGCGTGTATGTCTGTGTACCACATATATGCCTAATGTCAGTGGAGTTCAGAAAAGGGTGTCAGATCTCCTAGAACTGGAGTTATAGATGGTGATGAGTCACCATGTAGATGCTGGGATCTGAACCTAGGAGTTCTGCAAGAGTAGTAAGTGTACTTAACCACTAAGCCATCTCTCCAGCCCCCAAGATGCTTTCAAGTCTGTTTCAGGCTTTAGCAATCATCCAGTTCAGTTGTTATTTCTATTGTTCAGTGCTGGAGAGCTAACCCATAGCTTCCCATGTGGCAGGCAAGCACTCTTCCACAGAGCTGTATCCTCAGCCTTCTTTTTACTTCTTCCATTTTGAGACAAAGTCTTACTAAGTTATTAGGCTGGCCTTGAACTCACCTGGTACCCCAGGCAAGCTTTAACTTGTGATCCTCCTACCTTAGCCTCTCAAGTAGCTGAGATCATAGGCATGCGCCTCTAGACCTTGCCAATCCAGCTATTTAGAAAATTATTTCTCAGTAAATAGAAATATAAGAGTGCCATATTTGAAATTGTAATGTCCGAGTTAACTTAATGGTTATTTTCATATTAGGAATCTGTAGTTTGGTTTCTCTTTGGTCTGGTTTTGTTCTAGGATCTCTAGTTTAGAAAGAAATTAACTTACAGGAGAAGTTCACAGACAATGTCAGTTACACAGGCATCTTCACTGGCAACCAATTCTTTTAGTACCTATTTGTTGAAAAAGTACATGGTGAGTATGGAGAGAAATGGCCTGGCAATGTCAGTGCTGCTCTCCAGAAAACCTGAGGGTCAAACCTCTTGGAAGAGGAAAGCAGGCCAGGACCAAGGACAGCCTGCTGGATTGAGCCATGAGAAAGGAGGGCAGGAGAGCAATTTTGTCAGAGTAGTAAGAGGAGATACTATAGGGTGTGGCTCAATCATGGTGAGGAAGCAGACGGTGTGGCTTGAAGAAGCTCAGCATCAAGGAAAAGCGTTCAATGAAGGCAGAGAGTCACATGCACGGACAGAGTTGGAGATGTGGATGTTTGAAGATGCAACAGAGAAGGATGCGTGTGTCTGAGGAAGAAGACTGAACTGGAGGGAGTTGAAGGGAGGAGGGGACTGAACTGTTGTCTGCAAACAAGAGCAAAAATAAGGGAAAGGGAAGATTCTGCGGGGGCTGGGAATGTGGCTCAGTGGTAGACTGCTTGCCTAGCATGCACAAAGTCTCAGGTTCAATCCCCAGCACTGAATAAACTGGGGACAGTGGTTGTATTAGTTACTTTTCTGTCACTGTGATGATGCACCGTGACCAAGGCAACTTATGGAAAAAAGATTTTATTTGGGTTTACAGTTTAGAGGGTTGGAGGCCATCCATGGTGGGGACAGTATTGCAACAGGTGATAGGCATGATGACAGGAGCAGGAAGCAAATATCGCTTATATTGAACCATGAGCAGGAAGCAAACAAAGGAACTCAGTAGATCAGGAGGTTTCAGAACATCAGAGAAATAACCCACAGCCGTCCTGAAATATACATCCTGGGGGAGAAGCAAGGAAGAGCTAAACTGGGCAGGAATTCAATGGCTGTGCTCTATTTTGTATTCTCCTTTCCCATGGGGTCACTGGTACAAGATTCAGTTCCCTTACTGACAGGAAGAAAACCTGAGTTCTCTCAGGCTTTATCAGAGTTAAGAACTGGAGTTGGGCTGGAGAGTGCTCTTTCAGAGGACCAGGTTCAGTTCCCAGATCCCACATGGTACTCATAGCCATCTCTAACTCAGTTCCAGGGGATCTGGTGCCCTCTTCTGGCCTCCATGGGCACTACCTGTGCACATGGTACACATACATGCATACATACATACATACATACATACATACATACATACATACATACATACTGGAAACACCCATACTCAGTAAAATAAGACCTGGAGCTTGCAGACCAATCTGGGGCTTAGACAACTGCAACCCCAAATGATATTTATAAACTCCTCAGATTCTTTAGGCTAGAACTACTGAGAATTTTGGAATACAAGTTTAGAGACTTTTCCCCACCTGGGCTCAGGATGGTGGTCCCGAAACTACAAGGTGAGTGACAGTGGGGGCTTTGTGGACCATGTCCTGACAAATCCTGTGTGCTCTTGTGGCAGCTCATCGAGGGTGCCTCCGCAGAGCAGAAGCAAAGCCTTGGCATCACCAGCATGGACTACTATTACTACCTGAGCCTCTCAGGGGCCTACAAGGTCGATGACATTGATGACAAACGGGAGTTCCAGGAAACCCTGGTAAGTGTGGGTAACCAGGCGGGGCTGACTCTGCTCTCCTGCCTGAGTGTCAACTGAGGCAGAGGACAGTGAAGGTCAGTGAAACAGACAGTGTGACCTGCCCCCTTCAGTCACTGTAAGCACTTCTGAAAACCTGTGTTCAGCACCTTGGAGAGCCATACACCCAATTGCCAGGCAATGGTTTGAGATGAGTAAAAAGCAAGCTCATCACTATCTTCCTGCAAGACAACTGAGGGGGTGTGTTTAACATGCTTGTCTGTGGAGCAGCCAATACTTGGAACACTGTTCCTTAGGAAGGCCACAGACAATTCGTGGTCTTAATTGAGCATAGAAAATTTTAGGGGCTGGAGAAAAGTGCTTGTTGTTCTTGTAGAGAGAGGACCCAAGTTTAGTTTCCTGCAGCCACATTTGGCAGCTCACACCTGCCTAGACCCCAGTTCCAAGGGAACTAATACATTCTTCTGGCATCTGTGGGCACCTGCACGCACATATACCATACATTCACACAGACACACAAAGGTAAAAATTATTATATGTGTGTGTGTGTGTGTATGTATTGTATACACACACACACACACACACTATATATGTATATAGTTTTAGGCTGGACATAGTGGCACACATCCCCCAGCACCTGGGAGTCAGAGGCAGGTGGATCTTGCTGAGTTCAAGGCCAACCTGGTCTATAGAGTAAGTTCCAGGATAGCCAGAGCTATATAGTGAGACCCTGTTTTGTTTTGTTTTGTTTTTAAGTTGAAAACACTTTGAAGTTTTGTTTGTTTCATCCTCTTGACCTTGTTTTTTCTGTTTCCAAAGACTTTTTTGTTACCTCTAAGTTTTGAGGTCAAAGGTCTAAGTTTTTGAGGTCACTGTGCTTTGGGCTGTCCATGTCATACACATGTCACAGTCTGGGTTACAACACTAGATCTTCGAGGGTTTGTGACCTGCCTGAGATTAACCTAAATCATCCAATCTAGAGCATCCTTCAAGGACTTCACTGACACTGTCCTTTGAGTCAGCAACAAGCTCAGGTCTGTTTGTCTACTGAGATCTGAAGGGGGACCCAGAGCAGGGGAGGGTCAGCGGGAGGGGAGTTGGTCTGTTGCTCAGAAGTGACAGGAAGAGTCCCAGGTCCCAAGACTATCCAGCCACAGCCTTCAGGGAACAAGGAGAAAACTGTGGATGAAGGGCCCAAGACTGTCCCTGGGAATACTTTTCTCAAGTTACAGAAAACCAAGACTCAGCCACTTTAATTTAATGTACTGGAAAACTTGGCTTTTAGTAGTACTTTGTCGTTCTGGAGGTTTTAAAAGATGTTTTGCTAATAAAACCTATCTGTTGGGCTGGAGATATGGCTCAGAGGTTAAGAGCACTAGCTGCTCTCCCAGGGGTCCTGAGTTCAATTCCCAGCACCCAAATGGTGGCTCATGACCATCTATAATGAGATCTGGTGCCCTCTTCTGTCCTGCAGGCACACATGCAGGCAGAACACTGTATACATAATAAGTAAATAAATTAAAAAATCTCCCTCTCCACAAAAGTGAAAGCATCTTGGTGTGGTTGGAAATGGCATAAATGTATCCATGGAGAGGGTGGCAGCCAGAATACACATGGGACAGGACAGACCTGGAAGTGTGTGCCCAGACTCCTGTCCCGTGAGTGTCTCTCTTCTTGGAGATACTCTAGGGTCTAGAGTGTCCCTAGAGAATATATATATATATATA